GAAGCCAAAGCCTGAGTCCCACCTCCCAGGTACGAAGACGAGGGCTTCAGGCCTTGGTAGCAGGGCTCAGGGTTACAGGCCACCGGTCTGGGCCTGAAGGGCTTTGGCCTCCCCTCACCTGGGACGTTGGGGCTCGGGCAGGCTCAGACTTTAGTCCCACCTCCTGGTGTCATGTGGTAACTTTTGTTGTCACAACAGGGTTGCAGTGTAATGAAATTTGAGAAACCCTGATTGGCAGTAACTACTCTAGCTAAGGTTGCAGAATAGTTTCCATCCTAATCCTTATTTTCAGTAGCTCGTAACTTTCTAAAACATACCCTGAAAGAAAAAAAAAAAATTCAGCCCCGAAGATGTAGCTGCTTAAAAGTAACTTTTTCACTGGGGCATCTGAGTAAAAACAGTTTAGCTGTTTTTGAGTACAAGGACCAAGAAGAAAACATATTTCACTTTGTGAACTTTTATTAACATCTGGAACAGCTGGAGGTTGAAAGTGGAAAGAGGTATAACTCTCTCTGATATAAATTAGTTTTGATTTTGCCTCTAATAACCACTTACTACAGTATGCACACTGCATTTTCCACGTTTCTTGCAAGACTGCTAAATTTAAAAAAACGTGCAATGTGCACATGTTTGACTAACTTAACTAGGTAGTAAAAAGTATAGGGTATGGGTCCAATTAAAGTTGCAGGGACACACAGACATCAGGAAATGCCAAGATTACAAGTACAATTTTAATGCTGCTCCCCTGTGCATATTCATTTCCAATAGTTTTTCTTAGTAGAAAGAAATTAATTGTAAACATACAAGAATGAAAAATACATGTATTTAGGGAGGCAGAAAAATTATATATTGTATGCGATCATGTTACCTAGCTACATACATATATACGACCTCTAGTATCTGAGCACCTAATTAAAGACTGTTGTAATGTATATGTAAAAAGGAGCAGAGGTAAAGTTTTTGTGCACATCTTTAACTTTGGTATTTCTTGACCGTTGAGAGCTAACCATACAGCTTTAAAATTCTCTTAATGTAAGTTCATTGTTTAGATTTATAAAATGTTCCACTATGAGCTTTTGTAAATCATAGTTCTTCTTTTAACAGTGCTTGCCAAGCCAATTTGCAGCAGCCACATGAGTGAACTGCAGAGACCATCAAACCTGGTCAGAGGGCAGACAGTGATGTGAGACTTTGTCTGTCTTTGGCCACTACCACATATGGGGGTCTCTTATTGGTCCAAGGTGTGATGACTGCCTACATACTAGCCCTGGCCCGTTCATAATTGGTTTGGAAGGGCTCACTAGTGCGGTGGCAAATCAAAGCTGGGTATGCATATGGTCAGGTCAATTATAAGGGACAGTTTCTGACATCCGCTACAGCCCATTCTTCACAGCACTTTGACGTCACAGAGAAGTCTGGGCAGGGCAAATGGGCTCGCAGTGGGTGCTTCGATGACAAGTGCGCTTTCGGGTGGCCGAAGGGGCCTGTGAACAGTGGAAGGCTTGGGTTTGCCCTGAGATTCTCAACCCTTCTGACTATGGCATCCTCCCAATGCAGGTGTGGAAGAGTGCTGTTGCTTAACAGGGGGAGCCATGGTATTAGTGTGGGTTGAATCATTCCAGCTACCGTGCGATTGGTTGAATATAGTAGTATATCACCAACTTGACATGAGATGAACGGAGCCAGACTGGAGCACAGTATTCTGCTGCAGAGTAACAGAGGACTAAACTGGATGATGGGGTTGATGGATCAGTGTTCTCATTGTGCAACCCGTCAGTTCATACTGGGGACAATGATGATCCAACCAGAGGACTGCATTCAATGTCCTTTCTAGGGCTGAATCTCAGTCACTTGTCAGCCAACATTCCTGATGCAGTTCCACCCCACAATGTTCAAGCCATCAGGCTAGCCCTAAGAATATTACAAGTCAACACCGAGGGCTTGTCAGCAGCCAAATGCAGTATGAGCATAAACCATGGTCAGACATTATTAGTACTTGCATAAGGTGTGTGTTTTACTTTGCCTATATAACTACAAATCACAAGCCTGTATTTATACAATCTAATAAAATATGTTTTGAGAGTGAAATGGGTATAGATGGATTGAACAGTGGTCAGGTCCTATAAAGATCATAACAGGTAATTTCATAAAAATGGAAATCTACCTATCTCCAGAAGGGACCTTGAAAGGTCATTGAGTCCAGCCCCCTACCTTCACTAGCAGGACCAAGTACTGATTTTTGCCCCAGATCCCTAAGTGGCTCCCTCAAGGATTGAGCTCACAACCCTGGGTTTAACAGGCTAATGCTCAAACCACTGAGCTATCCCTCCCACCCCATCCTGAAAAAGTCCTGAAACTAATTTTATAGTGTGTTGTGTTGTTAAAGAGCATGAGAAAGCTTTACTGCAACATCTTCCCTTAGTAGCTGATAAGAATATATGCTACAAAGCCGCAATCTTTAGTGCTTTATGAAGTGTATATATAGTTTTAGAGTTATATGATTCACTCAATCCAGCATGGAGCTGACCTAGCATCTCCAGCCTTTAAGTTGCTACATTCAGATTTGCACTTAAAGCAGTACTAAGGTACTTCCATTTCATGATTTAATTTAATGTCCATATTTAACATCCTCTTCAGGAGAGAACTGAGTTTTGTCAAAGATTTACTAACTTTGGCAGATAATGCATTTAAAAATTAGACCTTTTGGGGGTTAAGAAAGTGACGCAAACACAGAATTAAGTATCTGTGCTTAAAGCAAGAAATGTGTTTAATCTTGTGTGTTCTAAGACAAACACATTTCATGGTGGATGTACCATATGTGAATATGTAAAGAAGTGCACTCATCTTATGCTGCTGGGCTAAAAGAGAAACATCTGCTTTCCAAGACAGATAAAAATTATTCACAAGCAAGAGGCCCTAACCTGGTCACAGAAGGCTGGCTGTGGAGATGCTAAGGAGGGAAGCTGTCTTTGCTTGTGGTCTGTGATGGCCCTGATCCTTGCTATTGGTTGTAGCAATCTTTTTGAGCAATGCTATGAAGTTCTCAGACTAACCCTTCAGCTATAGCAAGCAGTGACCACCGCTTCCTATTCAGCTGCACCCCTACTAATATCTACCAAAGATTAGACTGCTCCAAATCCAAGGCTTGCAGTCAAGAACCTGCAGCTTAGAGCAACTCAAGCTCAGAGCAGGTAGCCTACAAAACTATATAGGAAGGGAGCAAAGGCAGTGTAGAAAGGTGTGACGAAAGAGCCTAAATTATTAGTCACAGAAGCCAGGAATTAACAAGATTGCTATTAGAATCATAGAACTGGAAGGGACCTGGAGAGGTCTTCTAGTCCAGTCTCCTGCACTCAAGGCAGGACTATGTATTATCTAGGCCATTCCTGACGGGCACTTGTCTAACTGCTCTTAAAAATCTCCAGTGACAGAAATTCCACAACCACCCTAGGCAGTTTATTCCAGTGCTTGATGGTTAGGATTTTTTTTCCTAATGTCCAACCTAAACTGCCGTTGCTACAATTTAAGCCCATTTCTTCTTGTCCTATCCTCAAAGGTTAAGGAGAACAAGTTTTCTCCCTCCTCCTTGTAACAACCTTTTTGTACTTGAAAACTGTTATCATCCCCCCTCAGACTTCTCTTTTCCAGACTAAACAAACCCAATTTTTTCAATCTTCCCTCATAGGTCAAGTTTTCTAGACCTTTAATCATTTTTGTTGCTCTTCTCTGGACTTTCTCTAATTTGTCCGTCTTTCCTGAAATGTGGTGCCCAGAACTGGACACAATACTCCGGCTGAGGCTTAATCAACACAGAGTAGAGCAGAAGAATTACTTCTCATGTCTTGCTTACAATACTCCTGCTGATACATCCCAGAATGATGTTTGCTTTTTTTACAACAGTGTTATACTGTTGATTCATATTTAGCTTGTGATCTACTATGACCCTCAGATGCCTTTCTACAGTTCTCCTTCCTAGGCAGCCATTTCCCATTTTGTATGTGTGCAACTGATTGTTCCTTCTTAAGTGGAGTACTTTGCATTTATCCTTATTGCATTTTATCCTATTTACTTCAGACCATCTCTCCAGTTTGTCCAGATCATTTTGAATTTTAATCCTATCCTCCAAGGCACTTGCAACCCCTCCCAAGTTGGTATCATCCACAAACTTTATAAGTGTACTCTCTATGCCACTACCTTAATCACTGATGAAGATATTGAACAGAACCAGACCCAGAACCGATCTCTGTGGGACCCCACTCATGACCTTCCAGCTTGACTGTGAACCACTGATAACTACTCTCTGGGAACTGTTTGCCAACCAGTTCTGCACCCACCTTATAGTAGCGCCATCTAGGTTGTATTTCCCTAGTTTGTTTATGAGAAGGTCATACCAGACAGTATCAAAAGCCTTACTAAAGTCAAGATATACCATTTCTACAGCTTTCCCCCTATCCACAAGGCTTGTTACCCTGTCAAATATGGTACGCCCTTGTTAGGCGACGGTTACCATACAAAATGGAACTGTCTGATACTTTATTAGAGAGTATAAAGTGGCATTAAAGTTACATAGGAACAGTGAATTCCTAATCACAATTGTTCCTTGTGGGTTTTTACCTTTCGGTAGGTTTTTAACTTGTAATATATCCTCACTATTTACTTAAGGAGGCAACTTAATGAAAGGAAACACTGATTTCTCCATTGCTTTAACTTAAATAAACTAGGCAGTGTATCAATATGGAACATACCTACACAAATTTCTAGGAATGAAAACAGAGACACATGAATGTGCTGCCAGTATTCATTCTGAACTATTGCTTTTAAAAATGAAGACATGAAAACGTGGCAAAATTTGTCTTTTTTTCACTCCTGACTCATTTCCTCATAAATTCAATGATAACAGTTTCCAAAACTAACATGCACTTTGACAAATCAAACATCTCTTGCTGCTTTTCAGTACAGAAATGGCCTTCTTAAAGGTAGAAGTGATTCAAAACTCTTACCATTGAAGTTTGATGTAAAACAGAAAACATCATATCTGCTTTTATCTTTATCCCAGAACCCATAATTCCTGACTCCAGGCACTGTGTTCTTTCCTCCGCAGGGCTCTCTGGGTTTGGTGATAGGGTACTGAACTGATCCATCATTGAGCCAGCCTGCATTACACCAATCCAGCCCCGACCTCCACGCCTCATACAATTGGTCAAAGGAGGCGATAACAGAATCTTGGTCCAGACAAGCTTGCTGAGCCTCGTGGAAGTTTAGGTTGTAGCGACCCAGACGTGGAAAGTAAGGGAATACAACACCTATATCAGAAAGGAAGAAAGGCTATTAGCTGTTTAACTATATAAAAAACACAACAGAGAGAAATATCATTTACTGGTATCAAAAGGACAAATTTAAGGTTAACTATGTGAGATGCCAAAATAATACAACTGCAACTGGTGGTTTTATTTCTAGGAAAATTCTCTGCCAGCAAGTCAGCTGTTTGGTCAGAGAACATTGTCTGACTATCTCCTGACATGTCAGGCTTCCTTGTCTGATAGCCTCACACTCTTTCCTTCTGGAACCTGACCAATTCTGTCTCCTGCTCTTAGCTGCAGCCTTTGTACTGACACCAGAACCTCACCCTTGCACATTCTGACAGCATTCTGTTCTGGGGACCTTACTACCAACCACATGCAGACAAACTGCAGGTAGGTCAGAGGAAGGCAGCAGCAGTGGTTAAGGGACTGGGGGTTTTTAGAAGGAAAATGTCAAAGTAAGCAAGGAAAATCAAGGGATTATATTTAGTGGGTTTAGTTTAAGGGAACATTTAAAAGAATGGTCAGCCGATCCTGTTAAATGGCTGTAGTGTGGCTTTTAGCCACAGCTCCTCCATGGAGGCAGCACAGAGAGGCATTTCCCTCTCTCTGCTACTACACCTTAGAAGGGGATGCAGCACATGCTCTCCTGCACAGCCAGACAGTTCTGCTAGCCACTGTGGAGGATTTGGGACGCCGCCACCTCCCTGTCCCCTTTTGGGTGGCTAACAGCACAGTGGGCATAGCCAGAGGGCATTCAGAGGAGTGCGGGCAGAGATTGTGGCTGGCCCAAGTGCAGGGAACACAAGGTTGTGGGATGTTTCCTCACAACACATGAGGACCAATCTGCTTAGCCTTTGAAGAGGGATACAACACAGATAACTTTTGTTTAAAAAGAAGATGCATCTAAGTAGAGACAGATGAACCTAGGGAAGTTTTAGAATTGTCTGAACAGCAATATTTAATGACACTCATTCACCCCACTCTACCCTGTAGCTTTTCCCTCGGCACTTTTTTTTGTTTGTTTACATGGTGCCCTTCAATCAAAAAAAATCACAGCTGGACACAGGAGAGACATGGCAAACAACATCTCAGAAGAGATCTTCCCAGCTGGCTCTGATAAAATTCAGCAAAGAGCAGAGCTAGAACTGAAGCAAAAGCATCCCAGATTTTGTTAGGGTTTCAAAACCTAACTCGGATCTGAATTTGGCAGACAAAGTTAGTCCAGGCTCTATAAGGTGAAACAAAATACCTGATCCAAACAAGATCCAGAGCTGAAGTTTTCTGCTCAGCTGTAGAACAGAGTAGAGTAGGGTGGGGAGAACGTGGGGGATGAGATGAAGCATTAGGAGAAGAGCCAAAAGGCACCAAGATTAACTAGAAATCTACCTTTCTTTGTATTCTCTCCCTATTCATGAACTCTAGTTGCTAATTTTCTTCTCCTTCGCAAGCCTCTTCTGTTTAGGAAGCTTCAGTTATTAGCTATTCTGAACTATAAACTATGAAAATAAAGGTAATACATATGTTATTAACTATGATATCTTAAATAATAAGGTATACATATTCTACATGTTTAAATTCATTCTGGATCTCTTTTTCCACTTGGTCTTGTTATTGATTTTACTCTAGGGATGCCCAAGGAATGAACTACTGAGGGTAATACTGGCAATTTACCAGAAACAAGGATTGTATCTATTCTGCATATAAATGTCAACAGTCCAAGTCAGGTCCACAAGCAGGCATGAAAAAAAAGCCTCATTTCCAGAGGGGCTGAGCACTCAGACCATCCCGTGACTATTGCTGAAGTGATTTTAGGACCTTTAGGTAATGTGTGCTGCTGTAAAACATAATTTTATTTAAGTGGCTAACTATGGATTTAGATGCTTAATATTTCCACTCGCATTTAATAATTTTGGCTATGTTTTAACACATAAATATGCGCACAACTGTAATATTAGCTTGTGGGTGTATCTTCCTCAACAGATTAGAAGCTGCTTTTTGTTAGAGTTCATCTACAATAAAAACCTGCAATTGATTAAACTGACTTCCCTCTGCAGCTACAGGGAGAGGCTGGCTAAGAGTGATTTACATGACAGTTTAGGCTGGATTTGTCCCGTGATCCATGCTTTGTGTAGCTCCGCTTTACCCTGTATTTAATTGTTATCTACTGCTGCTGTGCCTTCTTTCCCTATAGCTTTTAATGTTGAATTAATAGGGATGACCTGTATTACGAATCTCTCTACTGCTGCAGTTACTCTTACTACGCTTTTGTGCACTAGTTAGTTACCCAGCATCTTTAGCTTCAGTTCTTGTCACCAATCTCTATACGACAATCCATTACATACATTTTTGGATGGAGCAAAAGACCATCCTGAAGGTTACATTTTTCTACAGCTGGAAATGGAATCAAAAACTCCTGACTTATAGGACTATAACATCTCCTCTCCATAACAGTAATAAATTCAATTTAGGATTTGGGGAAAGAGAAGGCAGTTCCTTGTGTCTTTTTCTGCCTATGGATACCTCTTTGGGCTCTTTAAATAACATGTAAATCTGATGCTGGTAAGAGACTGGCATGTCCCCACCAAATGTAGAGGTCATGAAAATTCTCATCTTTAGCCTTGCCCCTGATTCACTAAGAAAAACTGCATTGTGATTTCCCTTCCCCCCTCCTCTTTTCCATGTCACCATGTCAAATGTAACTCCAAGACAAAAAACATGGTGACCACACTATCTATGCCGCCAGTTGCTTCTACCACCCAACCAAGTGATTTGTTTTTGTAGGAAGCTTATTTGCAACAGTCTACCTTAATCCTCTAGGAGTTCATCATGCCAATTTGTAGGAACATTGATATGACTTGTGGAAGGTCAGGGCCCCAAATCTGTACCTATACTGACCTCAGTGGTGCAACTCTTCAGTTTGGTGAAGCAGGTTAGAAATCCGTTTCTTCATTTACAATACTAGAGAGAGACAAGCTTACAAACTTTCTCTCACCAACACAAGCTGGTGTAGTAAAAGCTATTACCTCATCCACCTTCTCTTTCTAATATCCTGGGAGCGACACAGCTACAACAACACCGTTTATAGTACTGTCAATATATAGCACCTTTCATAAGTACTCAATTCACTTAAATATACACTCTCAAAGAACAGCTTTTCTTCGCTCTACATCTGAAGAAGAACGTCAAGAAGAACCAAGGCCACTTCAGGTCACTGTTGAAGATATTTGTAATTGAATGACAGACCCACAATTGCACTTGTTCTATGATTCTGTACTTACTAAATCAGAGTCCGGAGAACTGGTGATTGTAACGGAAATTAGAATGAATCCACAAACTTAGCATGACAACTATTTGAAGTAATGCACATTTCAATAAACACACCTGTGTTTGTTTGAATGATCACATCCTAGTGCACAAACACAGGCTTTGGCTTTTACTACAAGCTTAGTCAAATAAATATTTAGAAAGAGAAAAAGGGAAAGGAACACAGTTGGGCTCAGTTCCTTAAAAGTATCCCAACATCTACTTCCCATTTATTTTAATGGGAGTTAGGTGCCTAAATACCTTTGAGGATTGGACTTTAGTGCTGAGTTTCTCCTCATAAAATTCACCCCTTTTGTGTAGAAGTACTGTCGCTCACATGATATGCAAGTTCACCGACTAATCTGTGACACTACAGTACAGAACTGTATTTCCTGCAATACTGCTGCCTATGGTGAGCTTAGGAAAGTGCTGAATCACTTACTGATTCTCAGGGGGCGGGGGCTGTAATTAGCTAGGGATGAGCAATATCAAATTCACCCAATAATATGAATATTGGTACTATTCAGACAGATCTTTGGCTCGTGAACATTCACAATGTACATTCAAACCCCTATTAAACTCAGTGCATTGAAGACCACTGACCACAACACTCAGCTGGTGGCTACATTCCTCCATCCTTCTTTAATCTCATCTTCCATCTGGGGTCTCGAGATACCAGTAGAAGGAAGCCTATTACTTTTACTCTTTATTCTGGCTCAGAAATGCTTTCTTTACACATGTATTAAGGGATGGGATTTTTGATCAAGCTTATGGGAGCTGGATGCCCAAATCCCATTGAAAATCAGTGGGAATTAGGTGCCTAAGGAACTTTTGCAAAATCCCACCTTAAATGGACAGGCCTGTTTGAGATGTGGGAAGGCCAATTATATTTGTGCTTCTAATGTAATACAATATTTCTAAATACAAACCCAGTATTAGCCTTCTGTGTCATGCTCCTAGTGTAAAGAAGGGCAGTTTACACTAGTCACCCTTAAAACCATCACAAGTGTGCCTTACATAATAAAGTAACCTTAAATAGGACTGTTATGACAGCAGTTAATAGGAGTAGTGGATCTACTGAGATACCATTATATACATTCAGTAAGCTTGTACGGGTGACCATTTACAGACAGAAGTAGACAACACAAAATTCTGTTAGCCCAGATGGAGGTGGGAGGGTGGAGAGGCTGTCCATAGCCAGAGTAAAGAAATAGTCTTCCTTTAGTTCTAGTCTAAACAGAAAAGCAAGGCTTCCCGTAGCCAGAGTCAACACAGATACAGTAAAGCTCCCTATATACTGTACTGCAGGGAGCAATCTTACACTGGCAGGGCGATACACTAGATGGCTTAAGCAGCATTTTCCACTTCATGTTTTTATAATTCAGAGTGAACACAGAAACTCCTTCTCTCTCCTTCAGAATCCAGCTCCGTCTCCCAGTCTGCTATACTTTTTGGGGTGCTGGGTTTTCTCACACTGCTCCAGGGATCCCAGATAATCTAGCCATCATTGGGCAGCCAGTTCATCAAGTGGCTCCACTCTCCTGTAATCCTGGCAGGTTTTGTAGGAGAGTGTGTGCCAGATCCTTTCACCTCAGCAACGAAATGTATGGAATTCTTTATTTGACTTGCATAACAGCTCAGCAGAGATGCAAAGTGGGACTTGTTTGGTTAATAGGCAGAAGCTTTATGAACTGCAT